AGATAAATAAGTATAATATATAACATTTTAATGATATTAAGGTTAAAAAGAAAAAAATAATATAAAGAAGAAAATAGAGTGTTAAAGGATTAAAAATGTATACAGGCAATCAAAATGTTGGTCATTAGCTAAACTCTTGAAGGAAGTAAGTGAGGAAGCAAGGAACGTGGCTCTGTGGGTAAAGAATACACAACACAAAGGGAAGAGCAAGGGCAAGGTCCTTGAGGAAAGAGTATGCCTCTCGTGTTCCAGAAATACTAGAGATCATGATATCTCCAGGATAGTGAATAAGGAAGAGTAACAGATTAAATGACAGAGATCATTTTATGTTTTTGGCCTCAATTTTGAGTGACATTAGAAACAATTGGGATGTTTCAAGCAAAGAAATGACAAAATCTGACTTAATATGATCACTGTTATATTGAGAATATACAGATTTGGGACAGAGTGGACAAGAAAAGGTGCAGGAGGATATTGCAACAATCCAGCCCAAAAAATAATAACGATCTGAGCAAAGGTAGCAACAAAGATATGGATGAGACATTTTAGATATATATTTAAGATAGATATGATACGATTAACTGACATGAGAAAAAAATTAATATGATTCCAAAGTCTTAACCTGAGCATTTGAAACAATGGAGGTGCTGTGAAATGGGGAGCACTGTGAAAAATCAGGTTTTAAGTGTAGGAGGGGATCAGGATGTAAGTTTTAGGCATGTTATATTTAAGATTCCTTTCAGGTAGGTATTCAAGTGACCAAGAAAAGAGCTGGATAGATGAGTCTGGAGTTCAAGTGAGAAGTCCAGGCTGGACTTAAAACAGAACATACGCAGGGTGGCAAGAATAAGGCATAAGAATAGGAAAATATCAAGAGAGTAGTTCCTGGTGTCACAGAAACCAAATCAAATAAGTATTTTAAGGAGAAGGGTAATACTTTCTGTGTCAAATGCTGTTGATGTCTCAGAGGAAGATTAAGAAGTCACCACTGGTGACTTTGAAGAGACTATTTCTGTTGACCTGTGATAACAAGGCCCTGATTAAGTTAAGAAGAAATTCAGAAAAGTTAAGGACAGTGAATAGAGTTAATTATTCAGAAGACTATGCTTTGTAAAGGAAAGGAGCTGTGGTAGCTGAAGAAGTGGAATCAAGGGAAGGTTTTTTAGATGTAAAAAATTAAAGTATGTTTTAATGCTGACAAAGATCTGGTAGAAAGGAAACATTTCTGTAGCAGTGTTGTTGAGAAAGCAAACAGAGGTAAGTGGCAAGAAAAAGAAAAGATCTGAACATTGTTAGGAGCATAAAAATTTATCCATGGTAAAGGAGAAAAGGAGCAGTTTACAAGTAGAAGAGGTGTCAGAGCTTATGAAAGTCTTTTTCATATCGTTTCTATTTCCCAGTGAAATAGGATGAAGGATAATTAGTTGAGAATAGGGCTACAATAGTAGAAGACAGATGTTGAAGAAGACGGGAGAAAAAATATGTGTTGTTTATTGAAGTTAGTAGATGGTAGAATGGAATGGAGAAATATAATGTGTTTCCTGGATAATACTAGGGACCCATTTAGGGCAGTGATCATCAATTTACAATGTGAATAGATTATACGGTTTTGTTTCTTGCCAGCTTCATACAGCTGCACAGATTCTGACTCTGAGTGGGTTGAGAGCCACATTTAATCAGTTTGTGCGTTAGCAACTATAGCATGTCAAAAACAGCAAGGGGTTGAAAGTCAGCATAAGGTAGTCATTACCATATTAGACCATGGAATTTAAACTGCATAAGAATACAAGTGAATATATGATGGAATGAGGAATATTGGAGCACTGGTATGATCTACACTATAGATATTGGTAGTACTGATACATTGTTGAAATTACAGGATTAGAGGAAGAGAACTAGAAAGATAGGGAATGGTGATTAGACAATCAGACTTATAACTAGAGAAGTTTCAGTTATTGCTTGAAGAAAAACCATGTCCCCTTTCATGAAAAAGGAAGGATTATTCATAAGGTAGAACCATAAAGCCAGATGGCAGAATCAGTTGTCCAGATGGAAGATGCAAGAACCCAAGTCTTGCAACCTAATCAAGAAACTCCAGCTAAAGTTTGCTCAGCTGAATTTCAAAACTTCTTTGGACCAGTAACTCCATTTTGCCTTTCATTTTCCTTCCTTCTTTTACCCCAAAAGTCAATTGTCATACTATGGCTGTCATCATTGTAAGTCAAGAATGTTGGAGGAAGATAACTTTTCTTTAATTTCACAAGTCAACAGATGAAAGAAATTATACTCAGAAGGTGTACTTTACCTAAACCTAATTAGATAATTGGGATGATTATTCTAGACTCCTGAACTGAAGAAATTTAGTCGAGCATTTAAACTTTTTATCATGACTATATCCTAGTACAGTGAGATCATTGGAAACCTTGGGAGAAAGTGAATGCATTTTTGCATATTAGAGAAATCTTGGAGACCACAGATTGAAAGGCAGTAGGCAGAATTTTAACATAGTCTCTTGGTCTCCATCCTCTGCTGTTAAAACTGTTATGTCATATTACATGGCAAATGGATTTTGCAGATAAAACCAAGGTTGCTAATCAGGTGAACTCAAGATATGGTGATATTTGGGTAAGCCAAACCTAATCAATAAATTCTTTAGAAGAAGAAATTTTTCTCCAAATCATTGAAGAGGAAGTCAGAGAAATAAAAAATGTAAGAAGGTGTTGTAGACCTCTCTGCCTGATTTTAGGAATTGTATCACTACCCATTGTGGCTAAGGCGAGAGATGACTTTTGGAATGCCAGCTGAAGGAGACAAAGCTTGTTTCTGGTAGCAAACACTGCCTCAGTTCCTCTCCCTGCCCCCAGAGCTTGGTCGGAAGTCAATGACAGGTAAGACCCCTCATAGTGGGGGGCAACCTAAGCCAGACTCGATCACTTGGAAGGCCTTCATGGAAGGACTCGGAGGGCTGCAACAAAGAGCAATGGACTCTTGCCCCACCGCCCCAGCTCTGACAAAGCCAGAGTCCCCACATCCTCTGGGAGAGGCGCTTCCTGGCTCTAATCCCCTAAAGCCTGAATACCTGATAGGGAGGGGTGCAGCTCCTTATCTTGCTAGAGCGTATCATGGGGGAAAATCTGTCATCACAAAGACTTGCTGATAAACATGTGAAATCTGCTCTGCTAAGAGTGCTTTCATTCATGTGATAAGGGTCTGAGAGGAAATGAGTATGTCTTCCAAAGTTTCTGCAACTCTCTTCCTGGCAGATGCTGACTCAGACGCTGAAGCCCTCAGATCTCTTTGAAATGTTATCTACTGTTTGATCCTTGCCACCCTATATTCCTGTGTATTACAACCCAATAAAAGGCTATGGAAGGGGGCACTCGGGGCCTTTTTCTCCTCGGAGAAGCTGGCCGCTGCTGGCCTTTGTCTCCCCTGAGAAACTGGCCATAGCCCACTCCTCCTCCCCTAAACAGATCTCATCTTGTCTCAGCCATATTTACTCATTCACATGTGTCCGTGGCACCGGGGGAACTCTCAAAGAAGTCACCCCCACAAGAAGGATGTGATATTCCATTACTGGCCTAAAATAGCAAAGTTCTCTCCCCATTATTCCCCCATTGCCTTTATCCTGCTTTATTTTTTCTATAGTCTATAGCCCCTTCTAAAAGAATATATGATCTACTCATTTATTATAGTTTCAGTCTCCCCCTTATATGAAGCAAGCTCCAAGAAGAGAGGGATGTCTATCTGTTTTACATATTGTGAAATATTAGATAATGCCTGATCTATAGAAGGCACTCAAAACACACTTGTTGCAAGTATCTGTGAACATTCACTTTCCAAAATAAAATTTTCTATTTCTCAGTTTTCTTCAAGTTTATGGTTCTCTTACTGAGTTGGGATCCCAATACAATCCTACTTATCAGCCCATCTACTTTTTTTTTTTTAAGATTTTATTTATTTATCTGTAGAGGGCAAGGGAAGGAGAGAGGGAGAGAAACATCAATGTATGGTTGCCTTCGTGCATCCCCTGCTGGGAATTGGCCTGCAGAAAACCGGCCTGCAATCCAGTATGTGCCCTGACTGGGATTCGAACCGTGATTGTCTGGTTCGCAGGCCCGTGCTTCAGCCCATCTACTTTTAATCTTTAAATGGGTTGCTCTTTTGTCACAGTTCACTAATTATGAGCATCTCCTTAGGTTCAATATTTGGCCTTTATAATTTCTTATTTATAGTTATATACTAATTACCTCACAGGAGGGTTAATCAAGTATCCATACTTCATCTGGATTGGGAAACTTCAAGTGGTGTCATTAATGTCAGAGTTTTAGTTAGAAACACTATATCTCACTCTACATTTTCACCCTGGTAAGCCGCACCCAGTATCAAGGATTCAATCACTTTATTTCTGTCAATGAATCCAATAATTACTTCTTCAACCCACCGCTCTCTTGTTAGTGTCACAACTGTCTAAAATACAGATGAAAATGATCCCTCCCTCAACCTGGCTCCCCTCCTCTCACCTACTCTATATCCTGTAACTCAGGATAAAAATGGAGAAATATTACTAAAAACACCCCTTTGCCCTTTCTTCCAAATACATCAGTAATTTTTTACACTTTATGTTCAATTTTTAATTTTTATTATCATGTTATCTCTACATACCAGTTCAATCCATGATAATCTCTTATCTTCACTCCAAAATTCTCCTAACCAAAATCATTACTTCCATATTCTCCACTTTGATACATTCTACACACTACAACCAGGGTGTAAAAATTTAAACTACTTAAAAGTTCAAACTTGACTTTGCCACCTGCTTAAAAATCCTTAAATGGCCTCCCCATTGTTTAGTACAACGCCTGAGGCCCTTCACATAGCTCAGCTAATCTCCAATAATCTCTGTGTCTCTCTTGCCTTTATGCTCATGTTACCCTTATTGTTTCAGTTTCTTTAATAAATCAAGAACACTATACCCCTCACCCATTTTAATGCCTTACCACAGTCCATTTCTTCTCTTCAAACACACCATTTACTTTGACCACGCCATTCAAATTCCTTCTATCAGTTTCCTTGTAAAAGTCAATGTGACCCACATCCATACAGTCCATTGATCCTGACAAAGGAGCAAAGGCAACAGAATGAAGAAAAGAGAACTTTTCCACAAGTAATGTAGGAACAACTGGACAATCACATGCAAAAAAATGTAATCTACACACAGACTTGCACCTTCACTAAAATGAACTAAAAATGAATCACAGGCCTAAATGCAAAATGAAAAACTATAAAACTCCTACAAGATAACAGGAAAAACCCTAGGTGACCGTGGATATGGTGATAATTTTTTAGATACAACACCAAAAGCAATATCTATAAAATAAATAATTAATAAACTTCACTTTATTAAAAATTTTAAAAATCTGCTCTGTTAAAGACAGTGTCAAGAGAATGAGAAGACAAGCTCCAAACTGGGAGAAAATGCTTACAAAAGATACATCTGATAAAGGATTGTTTTCTAAAATATACCCCCAAAATGCTTAAAACTCAACAATAGAAAAACAAATTACCTGGTTAAAAAATAGGTCAATGACCTGAACAGATACCTCACCAAAGAAGATATACATTGGTAAATAAGCATATAAAAAGATGTTCCACAGTATATGTCACCAAAGAAATGCAATAATGAGATACCACTATACCCTACTGGAATGGTCAAAATCCAGAATACTGCCAACACTAACTGTTGGTGAGGAGATGAAGTAAAAAGAACTCTCATTCATCACTGGTGAGAATTCAGAGTGACACTACCACTCTGGGAGACAGTTTGGCAGTTTCTCACAAAACTAAACTTGCTCCTACCATATGCTATAGAAATTGTGTTCCTTGGTATTTATCCTAAAAAGTTAAAAGCTTATATCAACACAAAATCTGCACATGGATGTTATAGAAGCTTTATTCATATGGAATATTAGAAAATGGAATATTATTTAGGTCTAAAAAGAAATGATCAAGCCATAAAAAGACATGTAGGAACCATAGATTTATATTACTAAGTGAAATAAGACAATCAGAAAAAGCTGTATACTGCATAATTTCGATTATTTCACATTTTGGAAAAGACAAAAGTATGGAGACAATAAAAGGATTATGATTGCGTGAAGTTTGAGTAGGGGGAGGGATGAACTTGCAGAGCACAGAAGGTTTTTAGGGAAGTGAAAATACTCTGTATGACACCAGGTGATGCATAAATTTTTCTGAACGCATAGAATGTACCACATCAAGAGTGAACACTGAGGTAAAGTAGGACTTTGGCTGGTTATGATGTGTCAGTGTAGGTTCAACAATTGTAAGGAGTCTCATTTTGGTGAGCTATGTTGGCAATGAGGAAGGCTATGTGTGTGTGGAGACAGGGGTAGAATGGGAGATCTCTGGATCTCAGTACCTTCCACTCAATTTTTTTTGAAACTAAAATTGCTCTAAAAAATTAAGTCTTAATTAAACAAAATACATTTGAGAAAAGGCCAATCACCTTAAATGCAAATGGCTTAAATGCTCCAAACAAAAAACAAAGGGTAGCTTAATGGATGAGAAAACATGACCCATATGTGGTGTCTCCGAGAGACCCATTTCAGATAGAAAGATACACACAGACTAAAAGTAAAGCACTGGGAAAAGATACTTTATGCAAATGGAAAGAAAAAAAAAGCTGGGGTAGCAGTACCCATACCTGACAAAATAGATTTTAAAACCAATGCTACAGTAAAAGACAAAGAAGGACACTATATAATGATAAAGAGAATAATCCAACGAGAGGATATAACTCTAGTAAACATTTATGCTACTAACATAGAAGCACCTAAATATGTGGAGCAAACTTGATGGACGTAAAAGGAGAGATCAACAGAAACACATTCATAGTTGGAGATTTTAACACCTCACTGACTTCAATGGATAGATCTTCAAGACAGAAAATCAACAAAGAGAAAGCAGCCTTAAATGACACACTAGATCAAATGGATTTAATTGATACCTTCAGGGCATTTTACCCTAAAAAGCAGAATATATATACTTTTCAGGTGTACATGGAAGGTTTTTTAGGATAGATCATATGTTAGGACATAAAACAAATCTTGATAAATTTAAGAAGATTAAAATCATATCAAGTGTCTTTTCTGAACACAATGCTATAAAACTAGAAGTCACTCACAAGAAGAATACTGAAAAACACTCAAAGACTTGGAAGCTAAATAGCATGTTATTAAACAATAAATGGGTCAACAATGAGATCAAGAAAAAATAAAAAATACCTTGAAACATATAAAAATTAAACACAACAATCCAAAATCTGTGGGACACTGGAAAAACAATTCTAAAAAGGAAATTCACAATATTACAAGCCAGTCTAAAAAACAAACATACATACAAATAAACAAAAAAGAAAAAGCTCAAATAAACAAATGAAATACACTCTAAAAAACAATACAAAAGATTAATGAATCCAAAAGCTGATGTTTAAAAAAGATAAACAAAATTGACAAACATTTAACCAGACTCATCAAGAGTAAAAGAGTAAGGACTCAAATAAATAAAATCAGAAATAAAAGAGGTGAAATAACACCAAAGAAATACAAAGCATTGTTAGAAAATATTATGAACAACTATATGCCAACAAACAGGACAATCTGGACAAAATGGATGAATTCCTAAAAAGGTACAATCTTCTAAAATTAAATCAGGAGGAATCAGAAAATCTGAATAAACAGATTATACCTAGTGAAATTGAAGCAGTAATAAAAAAACTACCAACAAACAAAAGCCCTGGACCAGATGGCTGGCTTCACAGATGAATTTCATCAAACATTCTGAGATGAACTAACACTTCTCCTTCTCAAACTATTTCATAATATTGAAGAGAAGGCTCCCAAACTCATTTTATAAGGCCAGCATTATTGTAATTCCACAACCAGATAAAGACACTACAAAGAAAAAATATTATAGGCCAATATCCCTGATGGACATAGGTGCTAAAATCTTCAACAAAATATTAGCAAAATGAATGCAGCAATGCATCCAAAAAGATCATACACCATGATCAAGTGGGATTTATCCCATGAATGCAAGGTTCATAAAACATTTGCAAATCAATAAATGTGATTCACCACAAAAACGAAATGAAGGATAAGAACCATGTGATTATATTAATAGATGCAGAAAAAGCATTTGATAAAATCAAGCACTCATTTATGATAAAAACTCATAGCAAAGTAGGAATAGAGAGAATCTACCTAAACATAATAAAGGCCATATACAACAAACCCACTGCCAGTATCATACTCAATGGGCAAAAACTACCAGTATTCCCCTTAAGACTTGGAACAAAAGAGTACAGGAAGTTCTAGCCACAGCAATCAGATATGAAGAAGAAATAAAAGGCATTTGACTTGAAAAGGAAGAAGTAAAACTGTCATTTTGGCAGATGACATGATATTGTACACATAGAACCCCAAAGATTCCACCAAGAAACTCCTAGAACTGATCAATGAATTCAGCAGAGTAGCAGGATACAAAATTGATATCCCAAAATCAGTTGCATTTTTACATGTCACTAACAAACTAACAGAAAAGGAAATTAAGAAAATAATCACATTAACAATTGATACAGAAAGAACAAAATACCTAGGAATAAACCTAACCAAGAATGTAAAAGAACTGTACTCAGAAAATTTTATAACACTGAAGAAAGAAATTGAAGAAGATACAAATAAGTTGAAGCATATACCATGTTCAAGGATAGGAAGAGTTAACATTATTAAAATGTCCATACTACCCAAAGCAATCTATAGATTCAATACAATTCCTATCAAGATTCCACTGATGTATTTCACAGAACTAGAACAAATATTGCAAAAATGTATATGGAAACACAAAAGGCCCCACATAGCAATAGCAATCCTGAGAAAGAAAGCCAAAGATGAAGGAACCATGCTACCACATATTAAACTATACTAGAAGGCCATAGTAATCAAAACAGCATAGTCCTGGCATAAAAACAGTCACATAGATCAGGGTCACCAAGCACCAGGTCTGTTGGCTATTAGGAACCAGGCAGCACATCAGAAGGTGAGCAGTGGGTGAGTGAGTGAAGCTTGGTCCTGCTCCCCATCACTCACATTAACACCTGAACTCCAACCTCCCCATCACCAGTCTGTGAAAAAATAAACTTCCACAAATTTGACCCCCAATGTCAGGAAGGTTAGGGACTGCCAACATAGATCAATGGAACAGAATAGAGAGCCCAGAAATAAACCAACACTATTACAGTCAATTAATATTTGACAAAGGAGGCAAAAACATATAATGGGCTAAAGATAATCAATTAAAATTGGTGTTGGGAACACTGGACAGATATCAGTAGTAAAATAATGAAACTAGACCACCTTCTTATGTCACACACAAGAATAAATCCAAATAGATCAAAGACTTACACATTAGACCTGAAACCATAAAAGTCCTAGAAGAAAACATAGGCAGCAAAATCTTGGACATAGCTCATAGCAACTTTTTATCCGATATAGCTCCCCAGGCAATGAAAACAGAAAAAAATAAACAAATGGAACTACAATGAACTAAAACTTTTTGTACAGCAAAGGAAATGATCAACAAAATAAAAAGAGAACTTAAAGAGTGGGAGAACATATTCATCAATAATCTGATAAGGGGTTAATATCCAAAATTTATAAAGAACTTGCGAAATTCAACACCAAAAAAATAAACAACCCAATTAAAAATGGGCAATGTACCTGAATTGACCCTTCTCTAAAAAAGGCCATATAAATGGCCAATAGACATATGAAAAGATGCTCAACATCAGTAATCATCAGAGAAATGCAAATTAAAAACTTAATGAAATACCATCTCACACCTATAAGGTAGTTATTATCAATAAATCACAACAAACAACAAAAGCTGGCAAGTATGTGGAGAAAGGGGAACCCTTTTGCACTGTTGATGGAGATACAGACTGGTTCAGCCACTGTGGAAAGCAGTATGGAGACACCTCAAAAAATTACAAATGGGTCTGCCTTTTGACCCAGCATCCTACTTCTGGGAATATAT